CATCCTGCCCCGCGCTCCCCCAGCCCCATCCAGCCCCCCAGCTCATCCTGTGCCCCCCAGCCCCATCCGGGGTACCCCACCCCATCCAGCATGCTGCGGTTGTCCAAGGTATCCCGGAGGGTCGGGGTCCCCCAGCCTGCTGTAGGGTTCCCCTGCTCGGCCACGGCACCACAGCCTTGTCCAGGGCATCCTGGGTTACCCCAGCTGGTTCAGGGTTTGACAGCCTCTTCCAGGGAGCCGCAGCTCTCCCGGCTCATCCAGGGCACCCCGACTTGTCCAGGGTACCACCATCCTTTTCCTCCATCGGGTTTGGACTGGGGGCTCAGGTAGTGCAAGCTCATGGCTGATCCGGCTGATGCCATTCTGGTCTCGGCACCGCAGGAGCACCTTTCATCCACTTTTCCCACAGGGAGGTGAAGGGTCCGGTGGTGCTGCAGGGTTATTTGTTGGAAAGACTTCGGCCGGGTTGGATCAGGCCTTGCTCTGCAGAGGCAGAGGAGGAGGATCTTCAGAGTGGAAGATAAAGGTGATAGTGCGTCCAGAACATCCCTGTGCTTGAGTACCACCAGGCATCGATGCATTTTTAGCATTCAGAAGTGCCATGGGAGTTGAATTTTGCTTTGTCATGCAAAAGTTAAAAATAGTTGCACTTAATTCAGCACTTAAGCCTTTCATCCTGCTTTTGTGCTCACTTCTCGGCCAGGAAGAGCCTTCTTACGGGGATGTGCCGGTTTTTATTAACAGCGCTTTGCCTTTCAGTACTGCCTCCTCCTCTCTTTGGCCTCTCAACTTTGTTGTTATTCCACAGATCCCAAAGCTCGGAGACATGCCGGCAGCCAGGGAAGCACAGGTTTTGGGTGGGGATGCAGACCTGGAGTCTGCTCCCTGCCTCCTCGGAAACCTGTTACACGACTTAAGGCTGACACTGTCACTTCTGTCATCTCTAGGCATGGAGCGGTCAAGAACGAGGACACCTTCAAGACCTCCCCGTTTCATTTTGATCTGTGGTTCTACTTCACGCTGCAGAACTGGGTGCTGGACTTTGGGCGTCCCATTGCGATGGTGAGTGTGGCAGAGGCAGGCCCGCTGCTTTGCTTGCAATTGGCTTATTTAGGGTGGAGGACAGGGGGGCAGAGCTGTGGTGGTCCTCTGTAGACCCATGGGCTGTTTTCTACACCAAAGGGATGCCCTTGAGGAGCTGTCCCTGAAACGAGAACCGCTGCGATGTACTGGTGTCAGTAACTGGTACCAAGCGTGTTGCTCCAGTCACGGGGAAGGTATCTTGGAAACTTGTTCCACATCATCTATCCCACAACTTTATGTTTTCATAACAGAAGTTATCTGGAGAGGTTCCTACTGCCCTTCCCCATACCTTGCCTGTATCTCCAGAGCTTGGGACTTCTGTTCTCCAAATAATGCAGGGCAGAAGTGGCCATTACCCTCAAAAGTAATTTTTTTACTGCTGGCATCTGCACATGGCAGAGGGTTCACAGAGATCTACTGCTGCAGGACCCCCGAATGCCTTGCTCGCTCGCTTGGCCACACAACTTCACGGCATCGGCTTTGGGCAGCACTGCAGGAGTTGAACAGCTGAGATATAAATACGCTGTGCGTTTAGCACCCGCTTCCAGATTGCACTTTTAGGGATGCTTACCACAAGAGCTGCCCAACTTCGTTACTAACAGCTACGTGAAGTCAAGCTGACAATTAGCAAGCAGTGGCAGTCCAAAGCAAGGATTTTCTCTCTCTCTCTGTCTTTCAGCCAGTGACGGGGCTGTAAGCATGAGCTGGGTGGCGAGGATATACTGATGTGCCTTTTTCCCCCCCTCCTCAGATAATCCTACCTTTGGAGTGGTTTCCTCTAAACAAACCGAGTGCTGGAGATTATTTCCACATGGCTTACAATGTTATCACACCATTTCTTCTGCTAAAGGTAAACCTCGGGGTGCAGGTGTTACTTTTTTTTTTTTAATATTACCAGTTGTAAAAGCAGGGCAAACAATACAGTTTTGTAAAAGCTAAGAGTTTGTTAGGAACTTGTTGAACAGATGTTGGTTATTCACAAACTCCTGCAAGTGAGCCGGCCCTACTGTACGTTAGAAGTTTGCCACTCCAGAAAGAATTTGTGATGCCACCTTCTAAAGAGCAAGGCAGTGACTATCTTAATACAACTCAATTTCCTGCATATACAAAGCAAATGGCTTCCCCCGGGAACTCCGGATTCAGGAGGAGTCAGAGCCCTTCTCCCTGGCTGAGCCAAAGCGTATTTTTAAGACGACATCCGTCCGTGACTTAAAAGACCTTATGAGACAGCTGGAGCTACAGCAGATTTTCTAAATTGTTCAGAGCTTAATTACACTTGCTCTTCGACATTAGAATTGTATCTTTAGCTTGAATTTATCTTGCTTCAGCTGCCAGCCACTGGATCATGTAAACCATTTCTGAGGTTAAAGACTGTCGTATCATTAGAAATCTTCTTATATTAAATACTTAGCAGCCAGAAGATACAAGAAAGCAATTATAAATATATTTTAACCTTCATTAGCTAGAAATTGAATTATGTAAATGATTCTCTCTCTTATGAGTCTGTCTGGGAGATTTTAAATGCCGGTGTGGCCAAAAAGGAATATTTGGGATCCGGTCCTTTGGGGGATATGAAAGCTCTGAAGTTCGGTCTGACCCATCAGTCTGACACAGCTGATTTCTGCAGGCTGGGTACTCATCAGATTAAAATTTGCTGTCTTGGACCTCCCTGGCAGCACAGAAAAAAATCCATTTGTTATTCAGGGTGCATTTCTTTTGCCCAGTGTTCCCTCGAAGGACATGTCCCACCGTCCTTTTCCATCAGACAAGAGCTTTCCTGGACCTTTTGCTCTCCTCGTCCTCTCTGACTCCTCTGACGTTCATACAGCAGTTACAGAGAAAGGGAAAGTTAAGCCTCAAAATTAAATACAAATAAGGAGCTTTTCACTGTTTGTGAAGGGCTGCAAAGCTGATTTGGCAGCAGGGAGATGGGAAGCAGAGGTGGCCCCAGCTGATCCTTGGGCTGGGCTGATGCGTCCCCCCTGACCCATGGTTCCTGAGGCCAGCTTGGCGTCCCACCCAAAGCCTGAACCGCTTGAGCTAGGATTTACGTCTTTCAAGGTCTTCCCGCTTTGCAAGCTGAGCGGGGGACCTCCTTTCTGGAGAGAAGCTCCTGTTCCTCGTCCCCAGCTGGCCTTGCAGGAGCTTGCACCAGGCTCCCCGCCAGCCTCACGTGCCTGCCTCCACCCAGACCTAAGCAGACCATGAGATGGTACAGGGAGAGCTCATCACTAAAGCTGGTGTTCAAAAGGTTGTCTCAACCGGTTTTGCTGGTAATTAGGTATTTCTAGATACGGGTTTAAATGCAGCTTCCTCTTCAGAAGCAAATAGAGAGGCGAGTCCGAGTCCATTAGGAAGAAAGAAAAAAAAAAACCCAAAACAGTTCAACAAGACTCCTCTGAAAATCATCCAGCGGAGAATTACAAAGGAGCGAGTGTCTCTTAGTCAGGGGAGTGAAGTGGGTATGCTCAGCTGGAGTGCTGCTGGAGGCTCTCCCCGCCACTGGAGGGCACAGCCAGCCTTGCAGATCCGCTCAGCAGAGGAACTAGAGAAAGCAGCTGCCTTTTCGTTTCTCATTAATCGGTTTTGATCACATCTGGTGAAGACATTGCTTTGAGTACTGTATTGGAAGTACAGTGATCACTGGATCACTGATTCGGTCTAAGCATTGACTCAGGTTAAGGGTGCTGCTTTGCAGAAAAGTTTAACAAGGGCAAAAAATGTGGTTTTATTGTTGTAAACAGGGATAAAGTGTGTACTCAAACCTGAAAGCCACATAGGCTGGTGGAAACGTGTCTGGGATGTGTTTAGGAAAGCGGCTGCAATCAGGGAAGTTTGTTCTGGTGCAGTCGCACTGCTTTCGCCAGGGGGATGACTGTGTTTTCCCCGGCAGGGTGCCAGCCATCGCAGGCAGCAGCTCACACTCACTACGGCAGCACAACCTGCAGCTTTCTGCAAGCCCCTGCTTGGGTTTAGATGGTTTTTGCAAAGCACCGTGAAGTCAGAGAGAGCAGAACTTGTCACGTGTCTCTGCTGGTACCTCCTCGCTGTTCAACATGTTTCTGTGTTTTTAGCTCATTGAGAGATCCCCCAAGACCTTACCGAGATCAATGGTCTACGTCAGCATCATCATGTTTGTCATGGGAGCCAGCATCCACTTGGTCGGAGACTCCGTAAACCATCGCCTGATTTTCAGTGGCTACCAGCACCATCTGTCTGTAAGAGAGAATCCCATCATCAAGAACCTGAAGCCAGAGACACTGGTAAAGAGGCTGTGTTTTA